TCTCTGAGAAAATTTCCTTTTCGGGATGGTTGGTCCCAGCTGTCACTTGCAAGACGCCGGGGAGGAGTGGAGGCTCCTAAAGATAGCCATCTGAGCCTCTTCCCCCGTCCAGCTGCCGACGGACAGGTCTGAGGGGTTCAGTCCATTCATCTCCATAATCCCAGCAATTTTTCCTTCTAAAGAACCCCTATTAGACCCACCACATGTTCTGAGAATAGGGAGGGAGGAAAGAAAGAGATTGAGAAGAACGTAAGAAGGTGACAATGACTGTAGTCTGAAAGTCTGCTACTATTCAAAGTTCAGGTTTGCTTCTCATTCACCTGACAATCCTAGGTTGATCTCCAGCCCTCTGAACGTTGCATTGCCGACCCTAAAGCCAAAAGGGCTTCATTTTGACAGAAGAGGAATCTCTTTGTCTGTTGTATTTCTATAACCCTTGTTGCTGATGAGGGGAACCTCTTGCTTTGGAAATGGATGATGTTGTTGACCGTTGTCATCATCCATAGGAGAAGATGCACATCTCGTTCACTTCTCCAATTCCAAGTATCAACCACATGGTAAAATATAGGTAAATAGTACAATCAGGTGACTATTGGAATATTACTGTTGAGAAGACACTAGTTCTCTGTTTCAGGGTCTTGGAAAGAATCCTCTACTCAGCATTGGCAAAATTCTGGCTCAGACAGTATAGATCGGTGGTTCCCAACCTTTTTTTGACCAGGGACCACTTGACCAGGGACCGTTCCCCAACATTAGTACCAAAAGGGTTACAAATCAGTTTTTGGCCAACTTTATTTGGTTATTTTGGGTGCTGGTTCAGAAAATTGCATTGGATAGACCACATTAGTTCTAGTTTCTGAAACAGAACATATGTCACCCAGCAGTCGCCATCTGTTTGGCCACAGAAAACCATATTTAACAATTTAGAGCCATGGACCTTATTTTAGGTCTTGCAGCCCACCAGTTGGGAACCACTGGTCTAGATGTTTCAGATGCTCAAAAAAATTCAACCAGCTTTGGTTGGATGGTTGAGAAAGACTGAATAAGTAAATTGTAAGAGGAGAAATTGACCTTGAAGGAGCTGGGGGTGGTGACGACCGACAGGGAGCTCTGGCATGGGCTGGTCCATGAAGTCACGAAGAGTTGGAAATGACTGAACGAATGAACAACAAAAGAGGAGGAAAGACACATTTCCAGAGAGAGGGAACAAAACAATTTGAAAGAAGAGCTGATTGAAAAATTAGCGATGCAATGACAAAGAGATTTTTTTTCCTACTAAGATCGAGAAAAGTGCAGGAAGGGCAGAAACAAGCCAGTTCAGCTGAGGGTAACCTGAGCCTCAAGCCCTTTTACATGCTGAGCTGACACATCCTTCTCCTGAACGCATGCCCAAGATGGAGTGGAAGATTATATTCCCCACTAGCCTTGAGCGTCCGTGGTAGCTCTCAGCCTGGGAAGAAAAACCTAGAATCCCTGGCTCTGCGAAACACAAGAGTACTGCTTTATACCAAGCCCCATCATTGGCCCTTCAAGCTCAGAAATGTCTGCACTGATTGGAGATAAAAGTCCTTTCTGGAGATAGCATTTGTTGAACAAGGGACACAGAGGGTGCACCCTGTCATTCACCATTGATTCTTCCCATGTGCAAATGTGTGCCCTTCTTGTGCTCACAGCTGCATGACAAAACATCCTGATTAAGGACTATAAGGCAATGACAGAGAGCATGCTTTGAAAAGACAAGAGCCCAGGTCCACTTCAATGTAAGGCTGGCAAATAATTGAGCCTGATATTCCAGGAGAGCCACCAGGGATTATTTGGCTGTCCAAATGACAATTGATTGCAACTCTCATCAGTCGCAGACAGCATAACGTCTTGAAGATGACATATTTCCAAACCCTACTACAGATAATAATAATAATAATAATAATAATAATAATAACAACAACCAAAACTAGATTAATGGATATTCCTTGTTGAAAGGCAGCTGTTGATATTCACAAGGAGCAACTCAAGAAAAGAAACTACCTTATTATTTCTATTCCATTCATATACACCTAGGCATATGACAATTTTCACTGCATTTATGTAAATCTAGGCGCATTAAAACATGCATAAGAGAAGATCAATGCAAATATGAATTTGATTGTTTACTATTTTCTTCGATCTTTACAGCTCTGCTAGAAAACCAAATTATAAGATACAATTTAGAGAAGAACGAGGAGGACACAGATACATACTCAGACAGGCAAAGAACAGATAATGATTTCAATTATATGCATTTCAGCTGTCTCTCTATCACACTATGTGTCGAAGTATGTATGTATGTAGGTTTGTTTCTTTGTTCCACACATATCCTTCATTACCCAATTTAAGTAATTGTGGAGTTTCAGCTATACAATCTAACAGGTTTTGGAGATCAGATGGAACCATGAGAGGGCAGTATATGGATAGAAAGAATTAGCTACTGGCCTATAGATATGTATATATGCAGTGCTCAGATGCAACCACAAGAGAGCAGTATATAGATAGAAAGGATTAGCTACTGAGTTTTAGGTATGTATGTACGCACTGCTCAGAAGCAACCACAAGAGGGCAGTATATAGTTAGAAAGGATTAGGTACTAGACTCTAGGTATGCATGTATGCAGTGCTGAAATGAAACCACAAGAGTATACAGTTAGAAAGGATTAGCTACTGGACTCTAGGTATGTATGTACACAGCACTGAGATGCTACCACAAGAGGGTAGTATATAATTAGAAAGGATTAGTGACTGGACACTTTGTATGCATGTATACAGTGCTGAGATGAAGCCACAAGAGGGCAGTACACAGAAAGGATTAGCTACTGAACTCTAGGTATGCAGTGCTGAGATGAAACCACAAGAGGGCAATATACAGTTCGAAAGGATTAGCTACTGGACTCTAGGTATGTATGTACACAGCACTGAGATGCTACCACAAGAGGGTAGTATATAATTAGAAAGGATTAGCTACTGGACTCTTCGTATGCATGCATACAGTGTTGAGATGAAGCCACAAGAGGGCAGTACACAGAAAGGATTAGCTACTGAACTCTAGGTATGCAGTGCTGAGATGACACCACAAGAGGGCAGTATACAGTTAGAAAGGATTAGCTACTGGACTCTAGGTGTGTATGTACACAGCACTGAGATGCTACAAGAGGGTAATATAGAATTAGAAAGGATTAGATACTGGAGTCTAGGTATGTATGTACACAGCACTGAGATGCTACCACAAGAGGGTAGTATAGAATTAGAAAGGATTAGCTACTGGACTCTAGGTATGTATGTACGCAGCACTGAGATGCTACCACAAGAGGGTAGTATAGAATTAGAAGGGATTCGCTACTGTACTGTAGGTATGTATGAACACAGCACTGAGATGTTACCACAAGAGGGTAATATAGAATTAGAAAGGATTAGATACTGGACTCTAGGTATGCAGTGCTGAGATGAAACTACAAGAGGACAGTATACAGTTAGAAAGAATTAGGTACTGGACTCTAGGTATGTATGTACACAGCACTGAAATACTACCACAAGAGGGTAGTATAGAATTAGAAAGGATTAGATACTGGACTCTTCATATGCATGTATATAGTGCTGAGATGAAGCTACAAGTGGGCAGTACACAGAAAGGATTAGGTACTGGACTCTAGGTATGCATGTATGCAGTGCTGAAATGAAACCACAAGAGGGCGGTATGTAGTTAGAAAGGATTAGCTACTGGCYTATAGGTATGYATATATGCAACCAGAAGAGAGGAATACATAGCTAGAAAGGATTAGGTACTGGACTCTAGGAAGGCATGTATGCAGTGCTGAAATGAAACCACAAGAGGGCGGTATGTAGTTAGAAAGGATTAGYTACTGGMCTMTRGGTATGYWTATATGCAACCAYAAGAGAGGAGYATAKAGCTAGAAAGGATTAGGTACTGGACTCTAGGAATGCATGTATGCAGTGCTGAAATGAAACCACAAGAGGGCAGTATGCAGTTAGAAAGGATTAGCTACTGGATTCTAGGTAAGTATGCATGCAGTGCTGAGATGCAACCTCAAGAGGGATGAAATACAAGGACTACGAGGGAAAGGGAGGAAGAAAGGGAAGAGCCACACAATAAACAAAACCCCTCTTTTTCCTTCCTTACCAGGAAAGGATTTATGGAGAAAACATTTATATCCTCTCGACATCATGAGACCTCCCTCCTTGCCTTGGGGTATTTGAAGGAACAGTCCTATCCTTTCTATGTTTCAAAGGATGCTGGGAGTTTGGGCAAGTTCTGCTACGAAGAACACTTCAGGCCTTGTTCCAAACACGCTATTCCCCTCAGACACTCCCTCTTGCTTCCCATTGGTCAGGCTCCCTGCCAGTCACAGGGTCTGTAGTCCCACCAGCCAACCAATTAAAGAAAGCCCCGCCCCCTCCAGCGCTAGTGCAAAGGATTGGCTGGCCTTCCTTGGATGCCCAGAAGCGTCTCTTATAGGAGGCGGAGCTTTTCTCAACTTGTCGCATTCGATTGGTTTGGAATCACGCCACTCAACACAGCTGCGTTCTTGATTTGACGAGAGCCGCCTCTTCTACGCCCTTTCCCGTTTACGTCACGCTAATGGGTTGCCAAAGCCAGAGTCCTTGCCGGCTCTTCTTTTGATTGGTTGACGGGTCATTCAAGCGCCCGCCTTTTTCCCCCCCATTCCTTCCAATTGGATCTTCTTTCCCGGCTTCCCGGTTTGAGATTGGCAGGCGCTTTCCCGTTAGTCCCACCCATCCTCGGAAGGCTTTGTCACCGCCCTTCCTCATTTGAGAGAAAGCCGTTTCTGAAGTCCCCTCAGTGATTGGCTGCGTGACGTATCCTTCTCCATTCTGATTGGTTCGCCTTCCCACCCTCTCGCGACTCCTTTCCCGTTCCCTTTCCTGATTGGCTAAAGCCTTCTTCCTCCTTAACGCTTATTGGCTGAGCTTCGGCCAGGGAGGGCCGAAGGTGCGCGCGCACCTCGGGCTGCTTGCCTCTCCCTCTCCCTCAGTGTTGCTGCCGTTCAGGGCTGTGGGCTCCCTGCCCCCCTTTCTCTCCCCCTTCCCCACTCGAGCTCAGGCTTGGGCTTGGCTCCTAGGCCGCGTCCCCCCTTTGGGGGGGAGGGGGGCCTGTGCTGCCATGGAAACCGGGTCCGGGGACCCCCCCACGCCGCCCCCGAGGCACAACGCCCCCCGCTCGGGTCTCCACGCCCTGAAGGGGGTGCTCCAGCCCCCCGTGGCCTTAGAAGACTCTGGGGTCACCATGCCAACCCATGCAGTCACTATGGAAACCGTGGAAGCCGCCCTGAAGACCAACGCGACCTCCCCTCCGGCTACAGAGGTCTCATTGACCACCATGACTGCGGAGATGTCTCTTGTGGGCAATGATAAAGGAAAGGAGGCCTCTACAGCCGTGGATGGGACTTCGGTGGGAGAAGATGTGGTCAACTTGGTGGACAACTCTATAACTGTCAATGGGACGTCGGGGGCGTCCCATGACGTTGGGACGGTGTCGCCGCCGCCTCTGAATGTGGTGAAAGCCCTCCCAATTCCACCAGCATCGCCCACCGTGGTCGTGGTGGCCCCGAGCCCTTTGACGCCACCGGAAAAGACTTCTCCCACATCTCCCAAAGGTTTGGCGCTTCACGATGCCTCAGCACCCCCGCCGCCCCCCCAGGACATGGGTTCCCAGTCTAGCCTGGGCACGGTGGCCTCCAAGGCCCCCCCAGCTCCCGACACCTTGAGCTACTTGGATTCTGTCAGCCTTATGTCGGGCACCTTGGAGTCATTGACGGGACCCGGGTTCCTCGATGATGCTAGCTCCCTGGGTTCGGACTCCGAGATCAATGGATTGGCGTACCGTAAGACTGACAAATACGGCTTCTTAGGGGGCAGCCAATTTTCCGTCACGCTGTAAGTATAGGCAGTCTGTAAGTATTGGCACTCAGAGTTATAAGGCTCATCTGTACTGACCATTTAATGTAGTTCAAGCCACAGCTTAATAATCATAATAATAATAAACTTTATTTATACCCCGCCACTATCTCCCCAACGGGGACTCGGGGCAGCTTACATGAGGCCAAGCCCAATGGAACATTACAATAAAATAAAACCAGAATACAAAAAATTATGATGCTAGCTCCCTGGGTTCAGACTCCGAGATCAATGGGTTGGCGTACCGTAAGGCTGACAAATACAGCTTCTTAGGGGGCAGCCAATTTTCCGTCACGCTGTAAGTATAGGCAGTCTGTAAGTATTGGCACTATGAAAGTTATAAGGCTCATCTGTACTGACCATTTAATGTAGTTCAAGCCACAGCTTAATAATAATAATAATAATAATAAACTTTATTTATACCCCGCCACTATCTCACCACCGGGGACTCGGGGCAGCTTACATGAGGCCAAGCCCAATGGAACATTACAATAAAATAAAACCAGAATACAAACAATGATGATGCTAGCTCCCTGGGTTCGGATTCCGAGATCAATGGATTGGCGTACCGTAAGACTGACAAATACGGCTTCTTAGGGGGCAGCCAATTTTCCGTCACGCTGTAAGTATAGGCAGTCTGTAAGTATTGGCACTCAGAGTTATAAGGCTCATCTGTACTGACCATTTAATGTAGTTCAAGCCACAGCTTAATAATAATAATAATAATAATAAACTTTATTTATACCCCGCCCCCACCATCTCCCCAATGGTGACTCGGGCAGCTTACATGAGGCCAAGCCCAGTGGAACATTACAATATAATAAAACCAGAATACAAAAAATCAACACAGTAAAGTAAATAAAGCATGAGAATACAATAATATAAAATAATACAATGGGAAATCATTCACAATGACAGTGAGCGGGCCGCATGTACAAGATAAAATATTAAACACTCAGGATGAGATAGGAGTGGAGCAGATTATTTGTGAGGGAGAAGCTCATAAAAACGGGGTCGAAGAGCTAGCCTTCAGGCACGTCGTGGGAACTGTGCTATAGGGACAAACATTGAGGGGGAGCAACTAAAGGGGATGGATGGTTACTCTCCAGAAGCGCAACGGAAAAGCCAGGTTTTAAGATCCTTAAGTGGTTTCATAGGAAATCGTGGAACCAGTTTGGGGCCTGGTGATTAAACAAACCACAGAGCGCTGGTTCATATTAAGGACTTCCTTTTTCACACGTTAGTGCAGGGTTCTTAATCTGTGGACCGTGGACCACCAGTTGGCCGTGAGGATGAAAATCCGGTCCGTGAGCCCCCTACCTCTTTATTTATTTATATTATATTTGCTCCTTTCTCACTGCTTGCCACTCTTTCCCTGTCGCTGACCATGGCATATGTTCTGTATCAGAAACTAGAGCTGATGTGGTCTATCCAATGCAGTTTTCTGAATCAGCATTCCAAACTCAATCTAAAGTTGACCAAAAACTGATTCGTAACCCTGTTGGTAGTAATGTTGGATAGTGGTCCCTGATCAAAGTGGTTCCTGGTCAAAGTGATCCCTGGTCAAGTGCTCCCTGGTCAAAAAAGATTGCCACTGCTCTAGTGGAAGTCTTTGTCTGGCTATGACAGTTTGAAGCTAGCTTTACACTCCCTTCAATTGTCTGTAGATTGAGCCATAGTTCACTCATTCTGATGGCAACATCTGTAGAAGAAGTCAGTTTATTAAGGGAGATGTGTACAAATTTAGTATCTGCCAAACTTAGGATGCTGAACTAGACTGAATGGAAAACAAGTGTTAGATGTTAAGAATGATAGCTTTACACTAAAAAGGAAGGAGGAATAATACATTGTTCTCTCAGGAGATCATAAGCAACAATTCCTGGTCTGAAAGGATACAGTTTAAGAGATGAGCCTCTGAGAATGATGCCTAAACGTGAACATACAGTGGTCCATCCTTTCCCAGTCTATCATCCCACCCCCAAATGGGTGAAAATACTACATCTCCCATTACCCACCAGCAAAGCCAGTTGTTATATCAACTGGAGATAGCAGCCCTGCATTGCTGGTTGTGATGAAATAGAGTTTATTTATTTATTTATTTACTACATCTATACCCCACCCTCTCTCACCCCAAAGGGGACTCAGAGCGGCTTACAAGTTGTATGTACATACAATGCATTATATTGTTAGCATAGCAGAATATTAGCATTATATATTACTATATTGTACTATTCCATTATACAGTAATATTATTAGTAATATTACATTTAATATATAATTAATATTATTATATTCATGAAGTTCTCCCAAAATCGATAATTCCCTTTTAGGCTACTCCATACCTCTTCTCATCTTTTTTCTGGATGAGAGTTAGTGCCCTCTAGAGAAAAAGGTCACCTACTCCTTCCAGCACCCTAGCCTAGACTGGACTGCTGCCTACCAGTGAGATGGTGGCCCATTCTTGACATGTGTTTTAGCCTTCTGTTCAGATCAAAATAGTTCAAGAAGATGTCATTCCAAATGGGAGGGACTGAAAGGATCTGGCTGTAACTGAGATACTTTGTAATGCTCTGAAAACTGCCTTTTTGATTCTTTGGGGGGAAAGTCAATGTCCTGAATGCTTGGGGACAATCCTCAATTGATTTGTGTTTTCCTGAGCTGTAGCACTTCAGGTCAGTTCTATTACTTTGAGTGATTCATTTCTCTTGTCTAAATATGACTCGGAACTCATTGCTGTCTTTTTTTCCATAACTGTATTTCCTCTTCTTACAGTAGATGTTGCCCTCATTGGCCTGAACTCTGAACAATTTATTTAGATGTCCAGTTTTGTTTGAAGGATACTGGGTGCACTTCTGAATTACTCATTGTGACTGGATGTCTATATTTCTTGCATGCTGACCTATGTCCCAAACATGTCTTGCTGTGGGTGGGGCGACGGATTGTGCTGTAACTATAATAGCATGAATCCAAACTTTTTTTTGGGGGGGGGGGGGATTGAACTCTTCAAGAACCCTTAATTTGTGCTAGTAGTCCAGTTGACATTGCTTCTGAGTGGTCTCTGTTAACAACACATTAATGGTAGGATGGGGCAAGGAGAGAAAAATGAAATAAACAAATAACTGTTTATAAATCAGTAGCTGATAACCTGGACAAACAAAGGAAGTAGCCACAAGCTGAACTTTCCCTTCAGTATTATTACTGTTAAGAGGGAGATGAGCTAACGAATTGCCCAAGGTCATAGTCTCCCTTGAAGATGAGATGCAGGGATAGATGTGATGCTCACATGGCTGAGCCTTTCTGCTCTTAGTTGACTTTAGGCTCTTGATAAAGTATATGTGGAGGGCCAATAGTATTTCAGATGTTATTGGACTTTCACTCCGATCAACCCAAGCCACCATGGCCGGTTGTCAGGGATGATGTGAATTGTAGTCCAGTAACATCTACCAGGGTTACAAGTTCTATATACCTTGATGCACAGTTTGGGGTTTGGCTGTTGAAGAAGCACTGTGCAAGGAATCTCCTTGGCATATGTTTACACTCAAAACATGGCCTCTGTTTTCTTATTTTGAAAGCACCACTCCCTCCCCATTCCTATCCCTTATCCTATGAGCACCTTTCAAAGCTTCCAAGAATTTTAAAGCAGTTTTCAATCCTGGTGGAGAAAAAATAGATATGAGGCTGCTACAAGAATAAATTTATCCAGAGTCTTTTCAGTGATTAGTGTGTGAGAGCGCACACACATATATTATTGTTCAAGAAGAACTTTTGAAGACTTCCAACTATCTTACACTTCTATGTCAGTAATGTCAGATCCATAGCTTGGGAAATATGGCAGCTAGGAAATTTTGGGAGTAGTTGTCCCCCCCCCCCCCCCCCCAATTCAGCTTTTTCAAGCCTTGGTCACAGTACCCTGGATTGCTATCCATCCTTGTTCTTGAAAGCTTGGGGATTTAGAAACTTAGCTTGCCAGACCTAGAACTGCGTAAGAAGATGCATGACCTTGAGATACACATTTAAATACCATATTATAACTTGTTCCATTTCTCTTAGTTTCCTAAGTGACAACGGTAAGATGGAAGAAGGGTGAGGGTCATCTTTTAATTCACTAAGCCCTAAGAGCTTAATCTGTTTTCAAAGGGTGGAGACTGGGGAATTACATTTTGTTTCCTTGACTTCTTGGGTTATGTAAACAGTGTGTATTTGTGAATTTAAAAATTGGCTAAGCTGGCATCACTGTGCAGTTGCCTTCTAACAATGTGTTCAAACGTCATGTCTGAATCTGGGGTTTCATTAGAAAGAGGAAGGAGACTGCTGATCTCATGGTTTGATGAGGAAGACCTCATTGGATGCCAGCACTCTTTCCCCAACATGCCTCATAATAATTGAGAATGTAGGAACTACTCTTTTGGTTAAGACAAGAGGCCTGTGTAGTCTTGCCCTTTGTCTTCAGCTGCCAGGCAAGTGCCTCAGGGAAGCCTGAAGGCAAGGCACATGGAAGAAGTTATTGTTTCTAACCAACAATTGCAAGTGGAAGAACCTTCCTTTTCAGCAGGAAGAGGATAAAGGGGGTCTGTTGTGTTATATATCGGTTAAGAACTGTAGCGCCAGCATGGTGTAGTGATTTGAGAGTTGGACTAAAATTCTGGGGGAACCAGATTCAAATCTCTGCTCAGCCATGAAACCCACCGGGTGATTTTGGGCAAATCACATTCTCATCTTCAAAGGAAGACAGACAGAAAAACCCTCTGAACAAATCTTGGTGAGAATGCCCAATGATAAATTCACTTTAGGGTTGCCATAATTTGAAGCGACACTTTAATAATCTGGATTTATTTGGATTGCAATTCCTCAGCCAGCATGGCCATGTTGGCCGGCATATTTTGGGAGGGGCAATCCAAATGTGTAACATTTGAGAGCTGTAAAATAACCACTGGCTTATTTATTTACCGGTAGTTATTTTCATGTATCTCTCATTTTTTCTGGCATGCTATCTAAGGCAACTTACAAGTTAAAACAACGTTCAGATTCAGCCTTTAGGAGCTTGCCTGATTATCCATTATTACAGACCTTTATTAAATGAAAAGGTGCTTAGTAGACAAAATCATGCTAGACTTTTCAGAAAGAAATGTTTAGTATAGCGGTTAAATATGAAAATGAATGTTTACATGTTTGTAGAAACTAGTGACTAATATAGAACATGTTTTAGTTGCTACGTAGATGAGTGCAAATTTTTGATGGTTTTGTAGACTGCTGACTGGGAAGTTTGTTCCTCTGCAGAATAATGGATAGTAATGGAGTGTGTTTGTGTAAAGGATTAGGGTCTGTTTTGGTTTTGCTTCAGCTGGTCCCTTTGTGGGGGTTGGAGCTTTGTTTCCTGGGAGGGACGGAGTGAACCAATTGTATGAAGGTTCCTCTTCTTGGATGTGGATTAGCTGCTGTTCCCTCTGGACCATCTGTAGTGCCTTCTGTTGTCCTTCAGCAGCCTTTGAAGCGGGAACCCTCCAAGGAAAGCCAGTTATTGAGGAGGCAATAGCTGGGGGGATAGATCTGCAATCTATTAGAAGCCAGATTGCAGGAGGTGGGGTAGGTCTCAAATGGACCAAAGTGAATTCAACTGCAAAGGATGTTGAAGGTCTGGTCTTTGCCCCACCCCAAGGAAAAGCCTTCAGATCTGAAAAAAAGAAGACCTTTCCATGGAGTCAGGCAAAGACCAGATCCTCAACATCCTTTGCAGTTGAATTCACTTTGGTCCATTTGAGACAGTCATGGATTGAAATAGAGAAGTTAGGATTCTTCTGGGTTATTAGGGGAGAATATAACAGCACGGATTCATTATTATATGCTTATATTTCCATCTCCATCTTAAATCTTAACTCTTAACTCCATTTGAAAATAAAATTTAATTTACTACAACTGGTGCACAAGCCATTTGTGTTCTGCCTTCATTTTGCTTCATAATCAGGTGACTCACAGGCCACAGGATTCAACCAGCCTATTTCTATAGACTATTCCATGAGCTCCTATTTCTATAGACTATTCCATGAGCTCCTATTTCTATAGACTATTCCAGTAGCTCATTTGCATCAAGCATTGAGTATGGATTGATGGTTAGATGAGCACATGGCTGTCTCACTTGATGGTGATCACAAGGTTCTCACAAATGGTTGCAAGAATAAAATGAAACTTGATGATGGTTCAAAATCATAGAAAGAAGGGCATGTATTATTAGAAGCTAGAAGGGCTTCTAGAACAATTAATGTGTCAGTAAAAACAAGTGCCTAAAGGCTTTCTATTTGAAAATACATGACACAAAAGGAACAAGTGATTGAGCGAGTAAATGAAAACTACACTGGTGGCTGAGTTTCCAATGTTACAATGTTTTTATTATGGTCAACTATAATATAGTGGGTGTTCAGTCACCTGAGCTCAATCACATGGAGTGGAACTGGAGCAAACAATGAAGAAGTAAAAAATGATTTATTTCCTCTGCTGGAGAGGCAGTGAAGTGGCTTTTCTTTATGTCTCTTCCTCTTCTATGAACTGGATGAAAATGCTCCTGGGTGAAAGGTGTGGAAGCTTAATGATGCTGGTTTTTCAGCAAGGCTGATGTTGCCACTTCTAATGTGGGAATATTGGCCAAGTCCAGAGCTCCTTCCTTTATGCTGCCTCATTATCCGGAAGTGAACAGAGGCTGTTTCATGTGGTTTCCCTATTTACAGGTTCTAACTAAACTGAATAGTGTTGGGGGTCCAGGCTTGCTTACTGTTAAAAAGAAGTCAGACACACCCACACACACAAATACTCATTGATGGCTTTGTCTTCAAAGTGTGGCTGTGAAAATAAAGTCCTCTTCCCCTTTTCTCCCAACCAACCCATTTCTTCCCTGCCTTTTCTTTCTATCAACCCCACCACTTCCTGTTTGGCACACAGCCCTTCCTGTTTCTCGCTGAGTTCTGTTAAAAGGAGCTCTGCCCAGCTCCTTCCATGTGATTGCCTTCCTCAAGTCTCCTTGACTGAAACTAGTATGTCCCTGTGCCTGAAGCACTTGAAATTTGATACCTTGCCTTTCTTTTCCTCATACAGTGGGCTTTTGGTGTTCACTGCAATTTGGTTCCAGGAACCCCGTGTAAATACGAAAAATCCAAGGAAACTCAAGTCCCATTATTCTAGAATTGTGCAGTAAAATATTACTCCTTATATAAAATGGGATGTCGAGATTTGCTTTATGGGTTTTTAAAAACTATTTTTCAACCATGCATGGTTGCATCTCTGGATATGGAGGACTGACTGTATGTGAATTTATCTTCTAATGTCAAGATTAAAGAGTTTTCATGTCGCTCTACACATTCCCTCATCGGGAAAGAAAATTCAGGCAAAACTTATTGTCGATATTACAGTTAACTGTCATGGGGGAGCTTTTAGCTAAATAATTTTATATTTGTTGTTATATTGTATTTTAATTGTATCAAATTTAAACTGGCAAGAACTTTATGCCAATTGTTTTATCTAGTACTTTTATAATGTTTTATACTGTTGTCCTTTTATACTATCTTATATTGTTGCTTTTTTATATTGTTTTATATTGTTTCCTTTTAGATACCGTTTTCTGTGTGTAAATGTGAATGACCTTTGTTGTGGGCATTAATAAACAGAAACAATGATACCATTCCCTCATCAGAAGGCTAACTAATCCTTAATCAGAACTAGAGTGGAATTTTTCTTAGTTTCAATTATAGTAGCCCGCTTCAGTGTTTCGGTTTTGTTTTTGTTTTTTACTGTATTTGCCTGAGAAAGTTGAAGTCATTGTAAGTCTTGCTTATTTGCTCATATATATATTTCATGAGCTTGGAAGCAGGAAGGGATAATGAAAAACCATCAGTCTATCATTTGAGAGACCTGTCAGGAACATGATCTCAAATGACACTGCAAGGAAACCACTTTGGCCCTTCCCATCCCATCATCTTCATGAAGGCTACAAGGCCATAGCAGAGAGTTTGGCCAAAGTCTAATCCAGGGATTTTCCATGAGAGGCAACTGAATCCATGTGTATATGAACAAACAGAGAAGTGGCACTAAAAATTGTGTCAGCTGCTTTCTTCTTGATGAAATTGCATGGGTGTATATTCAAGTTGGGGTTGTTATTTGCTATCAAATCAACTTTTTCTCATGGAGCCTGTGAATGAATGACTTCTAAGATCCACAGGCACCCACTTCTCTGCTCAGCTCTCACAAACACAGATCTGTAGGGTCCAGTAGTACAGGTTTCCTTCTTCTTCTACTGCCTTTCACTTTGCCAATCATTATCGTCTTTTCCAGTGAGTCACATTGTCTCAATACATCCAAAGTGTAACAGCTTTAGTCATTTTAGTTCCAGTGAGAACTCAGGCCTGATTTGCTCTAGAATCCATTCTTTTGTCTTTATAATAGTCCATAGTATCAGTTCAACTTAGTTTGGAGATAGCTTAGTATGTGCCATCTCAGTGTGACATGCAGAAAGTACTGGATGGAAGGACACTTTTAGGATCTATGAAGCTAGAGAATGAAATAATTCAACCTCACCACAACACCTTCTCTGATCAAAAGAGCAAAGCACTTTCTACTATCTGCTTCTAAATGTGCCTGTATCAAGAATGGGCTTGTAGTTGTATCCCTCAGAAATGTTAAATGCCAGAGGAAAGGGTCAGGCCTTGGTGTATTGCACAGTTATTCCTCTAAATAACAGAAACGGCAGGTAATTTGTTCAAAATAATTTCTACAGAATGGTCACATTTAATAATAAATGAAACTTTATTTATAGCCCGCCCTATCTTGAAGGGACTCAGGGTGGCTCACAACAAAATATACAATGGCAAGCATTCAATGTCAACAGTAATACATAAACAAATCAAGAACAACTCAGTAAATTATAAACCAATATAAACAAACAAGATATAAAATGAGTCCACATAATTACTAACATATTAAATCCTTAAAACATCATTTAAAATCTCTAAAATTAAGCTAAAATTGTTGAGGGGGAGATGGAAAACAACAGGTTAGATGCAGGCAGAGCTCATTATGTATGTCCTCTCCTGTTTTTCTTGTTACAGGGAAAGCGCCATCCCTGTGGACGTGGCCAGGCAGAGAGAACTGAAATGGCTGGACATGTTTTCCCACTGGGATAAATGGCTGTCACGCAGATTCCAGAAGGTGAGCAGAGATAAGCTCCTAGCATCTGGAAGGAAGGACCTCATTTGTGTTTATTTGCTGGTCATTTGTGCATGTTTATTTCATTTATTTATCACTTTTTCATTTTATTTTAGGTAAAATTGCGCTGCCGGAAGGGAATTCCTTCATCCCTCCGGGCCAAAGCGTGGCAACTTCTCTCCAACAGCAAGGAACTTCTGGATCAAAATCCAGGGAAATTTGAGGTATTTCTAAGTGCTGTTTTGGTGCTGCTATACAGTGGGGCAGGATTTTGGTCTATTAAGCAGAGAAAACGCTAGCTCAATTTCTTTATTTTTCCCACTTTTCAAGACCCAAATCTGTACATACAGGGCACAGTTAGCATCAAAACAGATAATAAAATCACAGTAAAGAATCTTAACTCATAGAAAGCCATTAAGATCTTTCTCACAGGTTGAGCTTTCAGAATTGCAGCTCTGCTTGTGATGTTGGGAGATTCAGCCTAAAGAGTAGTTATTTTGTGCTCAATGTATAGGGAAATAGATCGTAGTTGTCACAGTGAGGGATGGCAGCGAGTCCATGTAGAAAAGGATGTCTCTTTTGCCTGCATGTTTCTCTCTCCTGGAATCCTTTCCACAAGTGGAGTTGTTGAGTGAAAGCAAAAGTCCAGCTATAGCATCCCTTGGTGCTCCCTCCCAACACTTCCTGCTTTTCAAATTCACAAAATCATTTTTCTGTCTTTCTTCCTAGGAATTGGAGCGACAGTCTGGAGATCCCAAGTGGCTTGATGTGATTGAGAAGGACTTACACAGGCAGTTCCCATTCCATGAGATGTTTGCAGCTCGGGGAGGCCATGGGTGAGGAGAGGCATTTGGTAGAATAGCTAGAAGCCATCCTGTCTAGGGTCATAAAGTCCCTGTGCTCTTCTTATTTTTTTAAAAAAACCTTTTGAAAGCACACTCTCTCTTAGAAACCTTCTTAAATATACTAGGATGATTCTTCCTGTTGTTGCTTCTTCCTTGTCTCCAAAGCTCTTATCTCCAGTCATTTTACCGCCTTCCTTTCCTTGCACCTCCTCACTTCCAGTTCAGGGTTAATAGGGTTTGCAGTTAAGTCAGACACTTGGGAATACTAGTCTCCATGCTTTACAAAGTATATTGTGGCCTGTGACTTGGAAAACCCTGAGCCTAGACTGTTTCCTATGCCCTCTGATCTATGAAATAAAAGGTAAAGGTTTTCCCTTCACATTAAGTCTAGTTGCGTCAGACTCTGGGGGGTGGTGCTCATCTCCATTTCTAAGCCGAAGAGCCGGTGTTATCCATAGACACCTCCAAGGTCATGTGGCCAGCATGACTGCATGGAGCATCATTACCTTCCTGCCAGAGTGGTACCTATTGATCTAGTCACATTTGCATGTTTTCGAACTGCTAGGTTGGCAGAAGCTGGGGCTAACAGCAGGAGCTCACACTGCTCCCCAGATTCGACTAACTGACCTTTCAGTCAGCAACTTCAGCAGCTCAGCGGTTTAAGCTGCTGCGCCACTGGGGGCTCCCTATAAAGTACTTTAATGAAATAGAGTGTATAACTATTCTGTCAGCTGACCTTAGTCCTGAATTGATGTGCCTTAGATTTACATCTCCAATCCTTTCCAAATCCAGCAATACCAGTTTGGGGCAATACTTTCTTGAGGCAGAGGAAGAACTCTCATTTCCCAGACTTATGCCTCTTCTCCATCACAGGCAGCAAGACCTTTACCGTATCCTGAAAGCCTACACCATCTACCGGCCGGAAGAAGGTTATTGCCAAGCCCAGGCTCCCGTGGCTGCAGTTTTGCTGATGCATATGCCTGCAGAGGTGAGGAGCTGTGCTGTCATGTTGGAGAACAATGGGGAAGGTGGCAGACTGCTGGAGAACCCGAATTCTCTCACAGAGATGTGGGATGAAGTGGGTGTGTTTTGGAAAGAGCCATGTTTTCTGACTGGCCTGCATTGACACAGAACTTGAGCAGGCTGCAATGTGAGACACGTTGTAAATCTAGAAAACCTGGAGACTTGGTGGTGCCAAGAAGTGACTCACACCAGACTTGGCTGGTGGCCCCCTCCTGTTTTGAATTTGTGTCTTGGAGTATTTCTGTGGGATGCTGGGAGACTGGCTCCTTCATCTGCTGCTACCATATTTCTATATCATATATATATATATGTATGTATGTATGTATGTATGTATGTATAATGTTGAAATATGGGCAATAATAATAATAATAATCTTTATTTGTACCCTGCCATCATCTCTCCAAAGGGATTTGGGATGGCTCATAGAAACACTTCAAGTGCCACTTGCAGACAACAATACATAAGTATAGATGCAGTGACATAAGTATAACCAACAGCGCATAAAAATCTCAGTAATATATATAAATAAAAATGTAATGTTCGTTTGTGGGATTAACAGAACTCAAAAACTACTGGACAAATTGGCACCAAATTTGGCCATAAGACATCTACTGACCCAAGGAGTGACCATCACTAAAAAAAAATGGTTTTGTTATCTGGGAATTGTAGTTGCTGGGATTTATAGTTAACCTACAATCAAAGAGCACTCTGAGTTCCACCAACAATGGGATTGAACCAAACTTGGCACACTGAACTCCCATGAGCAACAGAAAACTCTAGAAGGGTTTGGTGGGCATTGACCTTGAGTTTGGGAGTTGTAGTTCACCTACATCCAGAGAGCACTACATCCAGAGAGCACTCAAACAATGATGGATCTGGACCAAACTTGGCACGAATATTCCATATGTCCAAATATGAATACAGATGGAGTTTGGGGGAAATAGACCTTGACATTTAGGAGTTGTAGTTACTGGATTTATAGTTCACCTACAATCAAAGAGCATTCTGAACCACACCAATGAGAGAATTCAGCCAAACTTCCCACAGAGTACTCCCATGACCAACAGAAATGCTGCTTTAAGGCCATCCAGTCCAACTCCTTCACCAGGGCAAGAAAACATAATCAAATTCCTCCTGACAAAGAGCCATCCAGCCATAGATATAGATAGATATATATTATTCACACACACACACACAAAGATATAGTATCATAGATTTGAAAGGGACCCCTAAAGAAGGACAGTGATATGTTGCATGTTCCAGAGTAGGCAAACTACATCAACAATGAGAAAGCAACAACAAGAAATACTGTTTACCCACAAGCATAAATAAATTACATATATTAGAAACCAACACTTTCTCATTACTTTATTTTCCAGATGACCAGACTGGGCCACAGCAACGCGTGGCAGGGGACAGCTAGTACAATTATAAAAATTAAAAATTACAATACAGGTTGTGCATCCCAAATCCAGACATCCAGAATGCTCTAATCTCTGAAATCCTTTTGCTGCTAAGCGCCTTCTAACTTTGAGGCAGCACCTGCAGCTCTCCTGTACATTTCTTTGCAAGGCAAAAGTAGGCAGCTGGCCGGATCTATACAATGCATACCATTTTTTTCAGATACGTGTTTCAGGCTGTTATACCCTCAGCCTCTCAAATACTCAATCTCTCTAACCTCTGGCGTAAAGCTAGAGATAGAAACTGGTGTAAGGCTAGAGATAGAAGCAAAGAGCTGTGAAATGGCAGGAGTTGTGGATGTGTGCCAGGGACTGTGCTTGGATTCCAGCAATTTCATAAATATTTCAAAATCCTCAATACTTCTGGTCCTATGGATTTCATATAAAGGATGGTCAACCTGTATAAAGAGATTAGAAAGGGTCCATAGCCCTGCGGTCTTATCTTGGCCCTCAGAATTGCCTTTTGCTCTATGCAGTATCATAAAGAAAAAGATGGCAGCCAGGAGAGAAGAGGTTTTAGCCTTGGGAGTGAAAGCTGACCCTCCTGAATTGAGGACCAGTTGACTGTATGGGAAGCAGGCCAGGACCCTTGGAAGGTGTGCCCAGCCCGTGGAGGGCTACCCAGTGTACCTGTACTGAGAACATCTTGGTTTCTCTCCACAGCAAGCTTTCTGGTGCCTGGTGCAAATCTGTGAGAAATACCTCCCTGGCTATTACAGTGCTGGACTGGTAAGTATGGCTGATGAAAAAAAGTAATAAATGTTTCTGCTGGGGTTACTCACAGGGAAGGTTTTCTGTACAGTTCAAAAGTTTTTTTTATGGGTGGATGGCGTTCTGCACCACTATAAGAGTGACTGTACATTTTGTGTTGTTGCATCACATGGCTTGTTTTGCAAAGAAAGAGGCCTCCCACAAGCCAGAAATCCCCAGAGAAAGGGTGGAGGACCAGAGTCCAGGAACACTGAGAAGCCAAGTCATGAATAAAGAGAAAAGGGCTTTCCTAGCTTTCATTTTTCTCATGGCTTGGCTCATCTGAATTACCTTCTAGAGTTTATTTTCTAACCTCTTTTACTTCCCCTTTTTTCTACTCTACCTGAAGCTTAACCTCTGTGACTTTGAGACATAATGCACTTGCACTCAATAAGCGGGCCCATTTGTGTCTAGGACTGTGACTTGCAGGAGAATGATGCTGGGTAGATAATAGATTCACCAGCCAGATCGTTCTGCTGCTGATGGGCTAATACAAATTCAGCCACTTGATTTTTTTTACTACAATTCTAGAAATTTAGGAACAGGAGGTAAATCTTTTGTGGGTAGCAGAATTCCTTTTCTGTGGGAGAACCATCCTAATTTTGCCCTTTTCTTTGTAGCTACATCCATTATTGACAGGTAAAATTTCCTACTTTGATATTGGAAAAACACCTCTGGCTTTCAGCCCTGTATGCAGCTGTTCAGAATCACAGAACACAATACCAATTACCCATATATACTCGAGTATAAGCTGAGGCACCTAATTTTACTAAAAAAAACCTGGAAAAATGTATTGGCTCAAGTATAAACTGAGGGTGGGAAATCCAGCAGCTAGGGGTAGATTTCAAAATTAAAATACATACGAGTAAAATTACATTAATTGAGGCATCAGTAGGTTAATTTTTTTAATATTGACATAAAACTGTAATTTAAGATAAGACTGTCCAACTCTGAGTAAACCATTATTCTAACGTTCTTCAATGTAAACATGCTTATGTATCCTTCCCATAATAATAAAGAGAGTAAAATAATAAATGTAATAAATAATAATAATAGAGTAAAATAATGGAAATGTAATAATAATAATAATAATAATAATAATAATAATAATAGAGTAAAATAATAAATGTAATAATAAGAATAGAATAAAATAATAGAAATGTAATAATAACAATAATAAATAGAGTAGAATAATAACGGTAATAATAGTAGTAACGATAGAGTAAAATAATAACTAACTTTGACTCGAGTATAAGCCGAGGGGGGCTTTTCCAGCCTAAAAAAGGGCATTAAAAACTTCTCTTATACTCGGGTATATACGGTAATCACAAAGCCATTGTCTAAAATATAAGGCAAGCTTCCCAGGTCAAGGAAGCTGCAACTTCAGATGTATAGTTTCTGTCTCCCCACTCATTTCTTATGCCACTCACAGAGGCTACAAACAGCATCTAGCAGTGGGCTCTGTTTGCACTGGAGAAAGAAAGGATTAGACTGGCTGCTAATGGTATAGCCCCATGATCACCCCCAATCCCCATGGCTTTCTTCATCTTGTGCAGGAAGCAATCCAGCTAGATGGGGAGATCTTCTTTGCTCTGCTTCGACGGGCATCCCCTATTGCCTACCGACACCTGAAGAGATACAAAATCGATCCCATTTTGTATATGACAGAGTGGTTCATGTGCATCTTTTCCCGGACTTTACCCTGGTGCTCCGTGTTGCGTGTGTGGGACATGTTCTTCTGTGAAGGTGAGGGTCATTTTTTGGCTATTCACTTAGCTGCTTGCCTTCTTTACATTGAGCCAATTGGGATCAGTGGCATTCCACTGTTTTTTTTTATTTTGTAGTTTAATTTCTGTACCCACAGAACCTTCCCATGTTAATTTCCCATTTCTCAGTCCTTCTCTTTGTGGTCATTTATGGCACCTGGCCTCTTCCCACCTATTTGCCAATTCATCCTTGTGTCTTCTCTCTAGGGGTGAAAATAATCTTCCGGGTGGGCCTGGTGCTGCTCCGGAACACACTGGGCTCAGTGGATAAACTCCGCTCATGTCAGGGCATGTACGAGACCATGGAGAAGCTACGGAATCTGCCTGTCCAGACCATGCAAGAGGACTTCCTGGTTCATGAGGTAGGAACTTGTTTTTTCTTTCTTTAAAATATTGAGATCGCCATGGCCTAAGGTATACATTGTGGGTGACTCACTGGACAAAAATAACAATTTTAATCTAATGTAAAACAATACAAATAAAATTAAAGCAGAGAACAAGACATCTAAATCTGACAAAACTTGGAAATCTGCATTGTTATTGTGCAAATATGATATCTATGATGCGAAAAAGGGAGGTAGGACAATACTAAAGATTGATAGAAAGTGTCAGCAATCATAAGAAATATCAAATTGGAATAAGAGACTTTTTCTTCTTGCAACAATTCAGATTTCAGTCTTAGCCAAAACTATTCATGGTAGATAATCCAGTATCTTCCATCAGATGTTGCTGACATGTTCCTGAATTTTTAGTGGCGGCCACAAGGAGTAGAAATCTGTGAGTGTATGTGTGCTTTTAAGGGAAAGCTTTGAATTTTTCAATGTTTTACCTTATTGCTATTAGTAAATGTACTAGTATATTAGCACACTTACCAGATTTGTGTTCTGCACTCTGCATCCATATTCTTTCAGATACCCATTAAATTCTGAAGCCAGGTAATTGAGTGAAGGGAATCTAATGACTTACTGAAGAGCACACACATGATTACACTATGTAACAAAATTTCTTGGTAACGGGTGCCAAAAAAGAATGGGTAACTACTTAAAAAGTCCATGTTCTTCCTCAATTTTTTGTGTGTGGCAAGAATAGCAGCACTGTTCTTGATTTTCAGTTTTAAATTTCTGTCTCTCTCACACACAATGGAGATGGGGCTGCTTTTTTCACTCCAGAAGGCGTGTCCTGAATTGGTATTGCCCTGGTTGATTAAGAAAACAACACCCAAAATAAAACCAGAAAACCCACAAAAGGTTAGAGAATGAGGAACTCTGTGCAGCATGTAGTTTCAGGCTGAGTTTGTATGAGGAAGGGCTCCTGGTACACGCAAGAAGTGGTGGTGGGGATGCTTGGCTATGGATGCCGTGTGACTATCCTTCTCAACTCTGCTCCTGTTCCCCATTTTGATCAGGTGATTAATCTCCCAGTGACAGAAGCCTTGATAGAGCGAGAGAATGCCACCCAGTTGAAGAAATGGCGGGAGAACCGGGGTGAGCTCCAGTACAAGCCTTCCCGCCGTCTCCACGGCTCCCGGGCAATCCATGAGGAGAGGCACCGCATGAATCCCCCTTTGTCCGCTAGTGCCAGCCTCTTAAGCCTCACTGGCCTCAAGCAAAGGGTTTCTCTCAGCAGCACGAGCGGGCCCTCTTTCTCTCCAGCGCACTCTGTGGCCGGCTTGGCAGTGTCCGCAGCTCCAACCCCAGCGCCTCCTGCGGCCCAGAGTCAGGTGGTGGTATCGGAAGGCCTCCATCCCGCCTTGCCCTCCCCGACTGGGAACAACACGCCCTTGGGAGGCCCCAAGAAGACAGGGAGTGGCAGCAGCAGCAGCAAGGAGGGGAAGCGGAAAGAGAAGGAACGCGAGAAGCAGGAGAAGCTGGAAAAGGAGCGGCAAAAGCAAGAGAGGGAGCGCGAGAGGAAACTGCAGAAGGAACGCGAGAAGCAGGAGAAGGAGAAGGAAAAGAAGCAGCAGAAAGAACGAGCCAAAGAGGAAGCCAAGCTGAAGAAAGAGAGGAAGTTATCCCTGAAGAAAAAAGAACCCAAGCCTGCCTCCCTGCCGCCCCCAGAAGAGGGGAAAGATGGGGAGAACTCCGGGGCATCAGTGCTGCAAGACACATACTTTTGAATAGGACTGGGGGAGAGGGGACTGCCTCCTGTCACCTAAGGACCAAGATGGCAGCTGCTCCCAGAGACGTACGGTGGTGGTGGGGGGGGCAAAGGGCAGGCAGTGGTGTGCCAAGAGCTGCTTTGCACTGAAGCACCCACCTTAGGGCTGCAATAGGTAGGAGGATAATTTACCTAGTGCACATATTTCCACCTCCCTTTGTGTGCCCGAGGTGGATACGGCCCTCCCTCCCCTTCCCCCTTTAAAGGAACCGGGCCAAAACAAAATGGCTGCTGTTCTCTGGCTGTCCCAGTGCAGAATTTGCCAAACCCGACAGGTGCAGCAGCACAGCCCTTCCACTTCCCCAAAGCTTGGAGTCTTAACCAAGGAGCTAATTGTATTATTAATAATAACTCCAACATGGGGGTCATCTCAAGTATTGTATAGAATAATCTCTCCTGACAAATATTTAACTACTCCAGGCTAGATACACCAGCTCTTCCCGGAAGATTAGTTTTCAGAGCAAAGGATGGTCTTTCCTCCCCTCTGCTCTGAGAAGTTAACAAATTATTCTATTGTGGGTTGGATTCACCTTTGTAATGCCACTGTGTTTTAATCCCCACTGTCATCCCAAATTCGACAGTCTCCCAAAAGGCTTATAAAGTAAATCCCATTGAAGCCTCCTTGTATACAAAGATGCAGGAGACTTCTCCCAGCATTGAGGAACAGTGCACTTTATGCAGCTTTCAGAGGCAGGAAGTGTGTCCATGTGGGGATTGGGAGACAGCGGCTGACTCTAATACCCACAGACTCAGCCATACAGTTGTTACTATGCAAATGTTTCTTTAGATGTGGTCAGGGAAAAGAAACCCACTCTACTGGTGCCTAGAAAGCATCTCAAGATTGGTGAGCAAAAGAGGAGAAATAAGACTGGAGCAGTGGGTTTGGAGCCTCCCTCCTGTTGCTGGCAAACCATTGAGAGAGGCTTCTGTTCCTATTAAGAAAACCGATCTCTTCCCCTGCCCGACAGTATCGCCATTTGGCACAAACATTCCTGAGTGGAAAGGCAGGAGGTCATCTTTCTTCTGTTGCTTGCAGAAAAGAGACAGCCATATTTCTTGGGAGTGCCTGTCACCAAGAAGAAGGCAGTGATAAAACTGTTTCTGCCAAAGCCCCCTGTATCATAAGAATCAATTTAGAAATGTTTGCCCGTTGTTGTTAGTATGCATCTAGTCCTCCTTCTGTCCTTACCCGTTCCTTATGGGATATTGAGGGTACATCTCCATTACAAATTTAAACCAGTTGAGAAATCACTTTGAAAAAAATTTCATGTGCTCAATCTGAGAATTCCTGGGATTTGTTTTGGGAAAGATGCTGAGAATGGCTCCTGAATTTTGGAGTCCCAGGCATTCTTTACAGAATTTTCAGAGCTTCTTGAGCCATGACCATCGAAACTGGTTGAGCAAATGGTTTCAGTTTGTTAATGTAGAACTACATTCCTAAATGGTGCATGCTTCATCCCCTTGCTCCCCATTGGAAAGGAAACTGGTCCTTTTTAAAATAACTGGAATGTATCTGCGCTTCTTTTTCTCCGTGGTACGCTGTGCGGCCGCAAAAGGAGTCCCTTTCCCCCTTTTTTATATTATCACACACTGGTATCAGCTTGTTCGGCCTTTGCGGGAGGACAGAATGGCTTCCTTCCCACATGGTTTAGGAACTCAATGGTACCAGCAGATTACCTGGGGCTGTGGATCTAAAGTAGGAATCCTATGCATGAAAAAAGATCTTAGAAAGCTGCAACTGGGAGACTGAGCTGTTTTGAGATCAAGTTGGGCTAGGGCTACAAATCTGGACTAACCGTATGTTGGTAACTCTTCCTCTTTGCCCTTCAGCTTTCACCTTCTGCAGGCTCAGTATCTCTCTCTTGGGTCACATTTCTTGCTGTTGTGAATGAAGCAGTTTCAGAATTTGGCTTCCCACAGCACACCTGCCCCAAATGGTGGCTTTTTCCTAAGTCCTCAGTCCCATTCATGATCTAGCAAAAAAGATCAAGTAGCCCATCCTCATCTCTGTACATAACTGTTCTCTATAACACATATATTATATATATGTTTCAGTATTGTAATTATGTATACAGATACTTGGGATTTTTTTTGACCTTGTGCTTTTATTTAATGGGACAGACACTGGAAATTAGGAATTCATTTTCTCCCCATGCCTTTTATTATTATTTTTTTAGGGTTTTTTTTTTACCACCACTCCTAATCAGGAAGAGCAGAAAATTAGAAGTTTACAGCTGGTATATTCTTGCTGTCCTACTTGTTAATATTTTTTTTTGTCGTTTGTGCCTCATTCTCATTGGATTCCCTGTTTCCTGAATTGCTTTGTTTAAAAATGTTAACAAAACAAAATGCAAGCAACTGTCTTTATTCATCGAGGATGGGTTGGGCTCTCATGGTAGGATCTGTGTGTCCAGATCAATGAAAAGAGAAACAGAAGAAGCTTGTCAACAGTGAGTGTTTTTGGGGGAAGGAACACTTTATCCACAGGTTAGGATAAGCCTTTGAACGAACCTTTCCCCAACCTGATGTTCTCCAGATGCATTGGGCTGCCAAGTCTTATCAGCCCTAGCCAATAGGGCTAGCACATTTGGAGAAGGGCACTAGGATGGGAATAGCTGCTAAAACATTGCCTCTGAGTTGTTGTTGAGAGAATGCTGTTGAATAATTCTAGCCAATTGATCTGGCATATTGCTTCATTCTTATGTTTATTTTGTCACAGATGCCGATCTGCAAGTTTATGGTGTTAGTTTATCCTGCAAGTTAGGTTAGCACAAGAGAGGCCTTGGCTGCTGAGAGACCAAAAAAATTGACCTGAACTTTGCTCTCAGATACACAACCCAACCACACATTCATGGTTTAACAGTTGATCACCATACACATTCCCTTGTTCCTGTTGATTTCTGTTTAACTTTTAATTGGCTTGCATTAGTCTTTTGTTTAGTGACCACAGGTATTGCTAAAAGCAACATAACACAGCAAGCCTTGATCTCCCATTTTGGAAACTGCAGACCTTCAGATGCTAGACTACAACTCATATCAACTTTGTTAGTAGTAAGGTGTAATGGGAGCTGTGGTCTAAGAACTCCAGGAGAGCTAGAATTCAGTACTGCCTGCCAGGTATTTATTTATTTGCTTTATTTATATCCCGCCTTTCTTTACCCCAAGAGGGACTCAAGGTGGCTTACAATTGCACCTCCACGGTGCCTTAAAACATACAACATCAGTTAAAACATAAGTTAAAAATTAAAACATAATAAGCACAATAAAAATACATTTCAATGAACCACGTCATCCAGAGTCGCAGTCTAAAGGCTAATCCGTAGTCAAATTGCACATATTTCATATTAACATTCCTGCACTGCTCTATTTTTCAAAAGCCTGCTCCCAGAACCAGGCTTTGACTCCCTTTCTAAACACTAGAAGGGAGGGGGCTGCCCTGATATCACTAGGGAGGGAGTTCCACAACCGAGGGGCCACCTACCACTGAGAAGACCCTGTTTCTCTTCCCCACCAACCGTGCTTACGAAGAAGGTGTTCTCAACTTGCTCTTAGCTAGTGGCATGGAGAGATTGACTATAAAGTGGTGCGTTCTGGAAATACATATACAAAGGTGAGAAGCAGGCCTTTTAAAATTGGGTTGCCTATGTTTTAAGCTGTAAGGAGAGCTTTTAATAATACACTTAATTTATATTCTGCTTTATCTCCCCGGAAAGATTCAGAGTAGATTACAGTACACATGAGACAAACATTCAATGCTTTTTTACACACACAGTGAACAACGACATACAACACAAACAAAGTTAAAGGGTTTCCCCTTTTTCCATCTCTGACGTCTGGAGGCGATGCTCAACCCCGGCCATGGGGAGGTGCTGTTGTTCCATTTTTCCATGCTGAGGAGCCTGTTGTCCATGGACATATCTGATTGTGTTGCTGACATGTTTGTATATCTGTATGGGGCACCATTTTATTTTCCCACCATGGTGGTATCTATTCATCTACTCACATTGCATGCTTTCGAACTGTTAGGTCAGCAGGAGCTAGGTCTGACAGTTGAAAGCTCACCCCGACTCGCAGCTTTGAACTGCTGACCTTCCGGTCAGCAGCTTTCCTGTAGCTGGTGGTTTAACCCGCTGTGCTACCACAGCCTCTTTTGGTGAGGGTGACAGCCTGCTTCTTCGTTGATTTTGTTGTTCTCACAATTCCCTTGATTTCCGTTTCTGGATATTCACCATGTACACTTACAACCTTATCAGATGCAGTCTTCTTTGCATCTTCTGCCTGTTTCTTCATGTTGCCAGAACGGAGTCCCACGGAGCCTATGACATGATACAGGCCAACTTTTGGCGAGACTCCATGAAACAGCCCAGAGTGGCTTTGGAGGAGTTGGGTAACACCCAGCTCCCCATTGAAGAAGTTGAGGAGGAAGCAGGAAGATGAAGAAGATGAGGAAGCAGGAAAGGATGGGAAGCAACATGGGATGGAAGGTCATCCCAGAAGACGGAGAGGTGGTAAGGGAGCAAAGGAGGGTAGTTCCCTCTGCATTCTCCCTCTTTCTCCCTGCCCATCTGATGAGGTCATTAGTGATTCCTAACTATATGTTGTAGGTAGTGTAGTTCCCAGTAATGTTAACTCACTTTGCCAATGCAACATGGAAGCAGAAGTGGTGATTGACCGGAGTGGGATGACTGCACAACAGGCCTTGGGGACATTGGCCAATGCAACATGGAAGCAACTCACTTTGCCAATGCAACATGGAAGCTGAAGTTGTGATTGACCAGAGTGGGATGACTGCACAACAGGCCCATGTGCCTCTGATGCAGCCACAGCAAGCATCCCCCAAAATATTTTGCAGCAAGAAACTGATCTTTTTCAACTAAATATGACTGGTGCAGACACACACATACACAAAAATACATCTCAAGCTTTCTTCAAAATACAAATTTATTATTTTGTATCACTTTACGTAGCCTAGTTCTCTGTGTGCCACTCTCCACAAACTTCATATGTATTTTAGCTTGTTAATTCCTCTACCCGAAATCTATCAAGCTCTCTCCCTCCAGAGCTTCTGGAACCCATTCCAGATGCTGCTCTCTTCTCTTCTCCTCTTGCCAGATGTCTCTCACCTTCACAATATCCTTCCCAAATTCCTGATGAAGTTGAGCAAAATCCATGTTGTGCGGTACCATTTCCAGTTTTGGTACTGAAGGAGGTAGATGAAGGTCCATTTGGCGTTTTGGGTTTCCCTCTAATTTGGGCTGTTGCTGACTCTTCAGCCTGCGGTACTGACTCTCCAGGTCATCAACCAAGGCTCGGAGGTACCCAAACCCTGCAGCACTAATAGCTCTCACCCAACCTTCCATTGTCTCTTGGTTCACTGCTGCCATCTTATAGGAGCGACTACCAGGTAATCCATTTGGATAGGAAATTACAAAGGTGTATGGTTCAGACGCGGATTCCTGGAGTTCCACAGTGCAGCCTTCTAGGACAATAAGCTGAGGAGGGCCACGGTCTCCATGTCGCTCTCGGCAGAAGAGAAGGTTGCCCCAGAGTTCACACCAACACTGGTGGTAGGAGGCACTGCGAATGCTCTTCTTATACAGAAGACCCTGGCGTTCTGGGACATGTCCGAAGGGGAAAGAGTGAATGGTGGCGGACATACGGAGCTTCATGTTGGATGAATCCTAAAACAAGGAAATAGACAATAAGATAAGAAAAACAAGGCAAAACAACCATGGACTAGGTCTCTGATGTTTATGGATAATCTCCAGATGATAAAGGTGCAAATTTTTCCATTTATTTGGAGGAGAGGTCAGGTCCAGGTAAGAAAAATTTGAACTCAATGTCAACTAGGAGCAACTTGCTACAACTTAAAAACTTTTTGATTTGTTACTTTGGGTCTGTGCAATGAGGCAGCAATAGGAATCCTTAGTATGCCAACCAAATTCGATATGGTTGTTGAGACAGTTTTAACTAGTGGATTTTAACGTCGAGATATGTGATTTTAATGCTTTTGTATGTGTATGGTCTAATATGTTTTGACATTGAATATTTGCCATTTCTATGTTGTGCTCCATCCTGAGTCCCCTTCAGGGTGAGAAGGGCGGAATATAAATGCTTTAAATAAATAAATAAATTTTGTATCAGGAGCAACTTGAGAAACTGCAAGTCACTTCTGGTGTGAGAGTACTGGCCATCTTCAACGACGTTCCATAGGGAATGCCTGGATGTTTGATGTTTTACCACCCTTGTGGGAGGCTTTTTTCATGTCCCTGCATGGGGAGCTGGAGTTGACAGAGGGAGCTCATCTGCGCTCTCCCCAGATTTGAACCGCTGACCTGTCAGTCAGAAGTAACGTCAGCACAAGGGTTTAACCCAGTGTCCCTCTAGGGGCTCAGATTTTTTGCTGCAACTTGCAGAGTCTGTCTTGAAAGGTCTATGTATTTACTTAGCTTTTTCCTTCTCTTCCAATTGTGACTCACTCACAATCTAGCTAGAGGCAACTATGCCAAAATAAATGTGGTTTACCATCCTAAGTAAATGGGGCGAAATAGTCCCCTCATTCCATCTTGATTTAAAAACAGCCCATCAAGATAGAATTTCTCAGTTTCCAATCAGCAAAATATATGAGAGTTTGAATGACAAGCTGCAAGCAATGATTTTTTTTTTGTGTCAGGAACAACTTGAGAAACTGCAAGTCGCTTCTGCTGTGAGAGAATTGGCCATCTGCAAGGACGTTGCCCAGGGGACGCCCGGATATTTTGATGTTTTACCATCCTTGTGGGAGGTTTCTCTCATGTCCCTGCGTGAGGATCTGGAGCTGACAGAGGGAGCTCATCCATGCTCTCCGCAGAGTCAAACATCCGACCTGTCGGTCTTCAGTCCTGCTGGCACAAGAATTTAACCCACTGTGCCACCAGGGGCTCATGATGGGTTGGTAAAGGTAGGTAAAGGTTTCCCCTGACATTAAGTCCAGTCATGTCCAACTCTGAGGGTTGGTGCTTATCTCCATTTCTAAGCTGAAGAGCCAGCGTTGCCTGTAGACACCTCCAAGGTCATGTGGCTGGCATGCTTGAATGGAGCGCTGTTGGTACTTAATATACATTGCTTATTGACCCTGATACAGTGAGGATTCATAGGGGCCATCTGTGGATCATGTTTGGCCTGGAAACCTCAGCCTGGAATGATCCTGAACTGCCAGCCCTGCTATGGACTATAATTGGAAAAAGAGATGGAGGGATCAAAGGAGGAAGTAGATATCAGTAGAGAAAATGAAAAGTGAAAAAATACAGCATGGCGATGGGATGGAAGAAAAATAGGGCAGAGGTAAAAGATGACAATAGCAGAAATGAGTGAAGCGAGAGCAAAATTGAAATTTAGGAGGGTGGGAGAAAGCAGGAGAAGAGGAACAATGTTAGATACAGCTCATCCATTTGAAAGTGGAATTTTAAAAACATTAAGCAAAAATACTTGGAACAAAATAGAAGAACAAAAATGGAAATAAAGTTATGGAATGAGCAAACTAATAGTGACACACAGGCATAAACAGACAAGAGTCTTAAATATAAACTTTTAAAGAAGTTGCAGAATTAAAAGAAGGGTGATGTTTAGGAAGATGAGTGTTTGAAACCAGGGAAGATGAATGAGAAGACAAATATGTGGATAATGGGTGAAAGAGTTCGGGAATAAAAACATGGAAAATTTGATCTCAAAATATAAAGTTGAGAGAAAGAGATGTAAGAAATAAGTTCCTTTTTGGAACTAGTTGATGTAAGTTGATGAGAGCAGGGTCCCTGGCAAATTTTGAGCCAGTTTTTGAGGATTTTTGAGACACTGAATGCCCCTTACCTTTGGAAGTCAGCTCTTCCCCTTAAGACTCCTTCAGGTCACTCCACTTCCTTCATTGCTCCACAAGAATAGTTTCCCAGGTGAAGAGGAGGGGCTTGTATTTACCTGCCTTTCCCCATCCAGGTAGTGTTAGAAGTCACTTGATCTCATGTTCCAGGAAGGCTGGAGGGTAAAGCAATCACACAGTTTGATGACAGCGTCTTGCCTGTTTCTCTCATGTTGCTCTCCAAAAGCAGGAAGAACAAGCAGCTCTAGAGAAGAGGAAGTTAAAAAAAAAAAACCCTAAATGAGTACTGGAATATTTTTTCAAGCAAAGTTTTCTTTGGTCCTAAAGAACCCTATTTCAAGAAGTGAATGAAATTGTTGTTAAGAACAAATTGTTGTGGGAAATGTAGAGCAAAAGAAGCTTAATTTGAGTTGATACTGGACTCTATAAAGCAGCATTTTTCAATCTGGTTCCACAAGGGGGGTATCAGAGGGGTCACCAAAGACCATCAGAAAACACAGTATTTTTTGTATGTCATGGGGGTTCTGTATGCCAAGTTTGATTCAATTCCATTGTTGGTGGAGTTCATAATACTCTTTGATTGTAGGTGAACTATAAATCCCAGCAACTACAACTCCCAAATGTCAAGGTCTATTTTCCCCAACCTTCACCAGTGTTCACATTTGGGCATATTGAGTATTTGTGTCGGGTTTGTCAAATCTATCATTGTTTGAGTCCACAATGCTCTCTGTATGGAGGTGAACTACAACTCCAAAACTCAAGGTCAGTGCCCACCAAACCCTTCCAGTATTTTCTGCTGGTCATGGGAGTTCTGTTTGCCAAGTTTGGTTCAATTCCATCATTGGTGGTGTTCAGAATATTTAAATTTGAAGTAATGTAGTCTAGGTTTAGTGTCTGGCTCCAAAGCTCCAAACTATCCACCTGGGAGCTGTGATGCTGCACCTTTGTTTTCAGATAGTTGAGTATGCAAAGGCTTTATTGCATCTAACAATAATTCAAAATTCTGTGCATAAAGTTACCTCCAGGCTATATGTTTAAGATATATGCCTCCATAGTAAACTTTCAGTCATGAGTTTTGATTTACATTCTATTGCTATTATCTGTCAGTTCTGTATCTGTGCTTGGTGCAAGTTTGTAAAAATATTTTTGTATTTTTATCTGTGTCTTGTATTCTATATATTTTGTGTTCATATGTTTTGGCTGCCCCCCCCCCCTTGAGAGATAGGTTAATAAATAAAATATTTTATTACATAAGAAACATCAATGTTGTGTATAGGTAAAGGTAAATGCTTCCCCTTGACATCAAGTCTAGTCGTGTCTGACCCTGGGGGTTGGTGCTCATCTCCATTTCTAAGCCAAAGAGCCGGCATTGTCCATAGACACCTCCAATGTCATGTGGCAGCATGTCCAGAGGAACCGTGGACATGATCTTCACTGCATGACAGCTCCAAGAAAAATGCAGAGAACAAAATCAACCTTGCAAAGGCATTCAACACAGTGAATCGTAGCGATCTCTGGACCATCCTCCAAAAAATCGGGTGCCCTAACAAATTTGTGAATATCCTGCGGCTCCTCCATGATGACATGATGGCAACGGTTTTGGACAGCATCAGCTCCCAAAGTGACCCATTTAAGGTGGAATCCAGTGTCAAACAGGGATGTGTTATTGCCCCAACTTTATTCTCCATCTTCATCGCTATGATACTTCACCTTGTTGACGGGAAGCTTCCCACCGGAGTGGAAGTCATCTAGCGGACAGATGGCAAGCTGTTTAACCTCAGCAGACTGAAAGCCAAAACCAAGGTTACAACAACATCTGTTATAGAACACCAGTATGCTGATGACAATGTTGTCTGTGCGCATTCAGAAGAAGATCTACAAGCCACTCTAAACACCTTCGCAGAAGCATACACAAAGCTTGGCCTGTCACTGAACATCGAGAAAACCAAAGTGCTGTTCCAGCAGTCACCAGCCATCCCCTCCCCAATGCCAGAGATACAGCTTAATGGTGTAACATTAGAAAATGTTGACCATTTCCTACCTTGGCAGCCACCTCTCCACCAAAGTCAACATCGACACCGAAATACAACACCGCCTGAGCTCTGCGAGTGCAGCATTTTCCCGAATGAAGCAGAGAGTGTTTGAGGACCGAGACATCCATAGGGATACCAAGGTGCTTGTCTACAAAGCTATTGTCCTCCCAACCCTGCTCTATGCCTGTGAAACGTGGACTGTCTACAGGCGTCACATGCAACTCCTGGAACGATTCCATCAGCGCTGCCTCCGGAAAATCCTGCAAATCTCTTGGGAAGACAAGCGGACAAACGTCAGCGTGCTGGAAGAAGCAAAGACCACCAGCACTGAAGCGATGGTCCTCCGCCATCAACTCCGCTGGACCGGCCACATTGTCCGGATGCCCGACCACCGTCTCCCAAAGCAGTTGTTCTACTCCGAACAAACGGAAAACGGAATGTTGGTGGACAGGAAAAGAGATTTAAAGATGGGCTCAAAGCCAACCTTAAAAACTCTGGCATAGACACTGAGAACTGGGAAGCCCTGGCCCTTGAGCGCTCCAGCTAGAGGTCAGCTGTGACCAGCAGTGCTGCAGAATTTGAAGAGGCACGAATGGAGGGCGAAGAGAAACGTGCCAAGAGGAAGGCGCGTCAAGCCAACCCCGACCGAGACTGCCTTCCACCTGGAAACCAATGCCCTCACTGCGGAAGAAGATGCAGAGCAAGAATAGGGCTCCACAGTCACATACGGATCCACAAGAACACTGGAAGACAATCATCCTCGGAAAATGAGGGATCGCCTAAGTAAATAAGTAAGTAATTTTAATGTTTTATTTTAACTATGTTGATCGGGCTCATCCTCATGTAAGCCGCCCTGAGTCCCCTTAGGGAGGTGGAGGTGGGATACAAAAATAAAGTTAATATTATAAGTTATTGTTATTGGCCACGGTGGTCCACACTCTTGTTACATCCCCGAATAGACTACTGCAACGCTCTCTACGTGGGGTTGCCCTTGAAGACTGTTCGCAAACTTCAACTAGTCCAGCGAGCGGCAGCCAGGCTACTCACCGGAGTGACATACAGGGAGCACACCACCCCCCTGCTGTGTCAGCTCCACTGGCTGCCGGTTCAGTTCCGAGCACAATTCAAGGTGCTGGTTTTGACCTACAAAACCCTGTACGGTTCCGGTCCAGTGTATCTGTCGAACGTATCTCCCTCTACGTCCCACCCCGGAGTTTGAGATCATCTGGGGAGGCCCTGCTCTCGACCCACCGCTGTCACAAGTGAGGCTGGTGGGGACGAGGAGCAGGGCTTTCTCAGTGGTGGCCCCTCACCTGTGGAACTCACTCCCGGGGGAAATCAGGGCATCATCATCCCTCCTCTCCTTCAGGAGGAAGGTGAAGACGTGGTTATGGGACCAGGCCTTTGGGCAATCTGGCAATTAAATAAGACAACCAGGCGAGTAAGACCAACAAGACTGTTGAAGTGGAACTGAAAACTAGAACTATGAGTTAGCGAACGCTGACCATGTAGGAGGAGGAATTGGGTTTGTATTGGTTTTATTGATTTTATTGTTTTATTTATTTATTTATTTACTGCGCTTATCGACCGCAATTCTCAGCCCAAGGGCGACTCATTGCGGTGTACAACATGGAAACAAGTGCAAATTACAAGACATAGTGTAAAAAATCCACAATTCATCATTATCAAAAAGACATCTTATCAAAACATCAACATCAACATTACTACAAAATCCATTCCGAGTCGTCTCATCGTCAAACCCACAATCCAAAATCATTTCCGTTGTTCCATTCCTATGATCAATTCACCAGTCATTGCACTTCTTGATCAAATGCCTTCTTAAATAGCCAGGTCTTCAGCTTCCTGCGGAATATCAACAAGGAGGGGGCTAGCCTGATGTCCACGGGAAGGGTGTTCCACAGCCGAGGAGCCACCACCGAGAAGGCCCTATCTCGTCCCCGCCAGCCGTGCCTGTGACGCAGGCGGGATCGAGAGCAGGGCCTCCCCGGAAGATCTCAAAGTCCTCGTGGGCTCATAGGATGCATTAATTGTTGTTAACTGTGAATTTAATGTAATTTTGTGTTCTGATTGTTCTGTGATGCAGGCATCAAATTTTGCCTTTGCTTTTGTAAGCCGCCCTGAGTCCCCTTCGGGGTGAGAAGGGCGGGGTAAAAGAAACCGAAATAATAATAAATAAATTATTGTGTATAACTATGTCTAAATATTGAAATAATGTGATAAGTATGTATTCCTGCACAGAATGGGGTTGCACTGGATGGCCCTTTTGGGGGTCTCTTCCAACTCAATAGGATTCCATTGAAACAAACGAGGCCTGTGCCTTTAAGGTTTGCCCGCACTGGCCTCAGCAGTGCTGCTCAGTTCTAGCGAAGCCACAGGTTGCCAGGAGTGACGTCACTTCCCATGCGCCAAAGAGGGGCAAGTCCTCTAGCCGTCCTGTTGTGGCATCGGCTTCGAATGGTGGCAGGACCCGGATGTTGATTCCTTCCCAGTGAGAGTTGCCTGCGTGCTGCAGAGGCGCAGAGGTGAGAGTTGGCTCCATAAGTTTTAGGGGGGAGAGGGGATTTGCATATTGTCAATAGCAGAGGCCAGGAGGGAGGAATAGGCCTTGGGAGCTTCCACACCACCCCCCATTAAAGAGTGGCAGGGCTTTCTCTAGTCAGATCTATGTCTGCATAGTATATAATATTATTAGGATGCATGGGCAAAGTTGGGCCTTTGAGGGGTTTTGGACTCCAACTCCCACCATTCCTAACAGCTTCAGGCCCCTTTATTTCCCCCTCAGCCGCTTAAGCGACTGAGGGGGGAAATAAAGGGGCCTGAAGCTGTTAGGAATGGTGGGAGTTGGAGTCCAAAACCCCTCAAAGGCCCAACTTTGCCCATGCCTGTATTAGAATCATAGACTTGGAAGGGACCACAAGAGCCATCTAGTCCAGCCCCCTGCCATGCAGGAAAAGCACAATCCTGTTGGAGCAGAAAGAAAATCAACATCAGTCCTCTTGGCTAGTTCTCCTGACAAAATATATTAGGAGCTGTGGACTCCCGACTCGGTATCCGAACCTCTTAGAAGAGCTAGACCCAAAAATAGTTGCTCAACGAGTATTGGATATAGAAGGCCAAAAAGACATTGCTACCCTCAGTAAAGCTGGCTCATTGAAATGGTTAAGCCACTTTAAACACACTTTCCAAACAGCTCGATATCTAAAAACAGATATGCCAAAACAGCTCAGGAGGGTATTTACCAGAGCTCGTTTTGAGCAGCTGGATTCAATGGTCAAGCACGGAAGGTTTAATCAGGTCCCATACAACGAACGAGTTTGTATTTGCGGAGCATCAGAGGTGGAGGATATCACACATGTTCTGTTCAACTGTGAGCTGTATAAGAAAGAGAGAGGCCATTGCCTTGGACCATACATTATTCACAGAACACACTGGGATCCACATATTGAAACTTCATTTTTGCTGGCCGGCCAGAATCCTAAAATAACACACAAAACAGCCCTTTTTCTATTCAAAGCAACACAGCTGAGAATTGCACATTTAGAATCAATTGGGGTAAACTGTGGAGGTGACACAGATATTTGACCTGAACAGGATCTGCCAACAGTTTGTTTATTTTAACCTCTTTTATTTTAACCTCTCTTATACCGAGGGTTGTATGTTGTAGGACTATGTGTTAAATGTGTTATGTGTTAAATGTTTTGATATGGCCAATAGGCCAATCAATAAAACGTATCTATCTATCTATCTATCTATCTATCTATCTATCTATCTATCTATCACAATCTAAGCATCCCCGACAGATGAGTATCCAGCCTCTGTTTAAAAACTGCCAAAAAAGGTTTCCACCACACTATTGTTTATATTATTATTATTATTTCTTATTCTTCATACCAGCCTCTTCTCATAGATCTAGACAGAGAACAACAATCTATATAAATAAAAATGTAATGTTCATTTGTGGGATTAACATAACTCAAAAACAACTTGACGAATTGACACCAAATTTGGACACAATACACCTATCAGGCCAGCGGGTGACCATCACTCATGCAAACACTGAAAAATAGCAGAAGAGCGACAATCTATATAAATAAAAATGTAATGTTCGTTTGTGGGATTAACATAACTCAAAAACCACTGGATGAATTGACACCAAATTTGGACACAATACACCTATCAGGCCAGCAAGTGGCCATCACTCATAAAAACACTGAAAAATAGCAGAAGAGACTTAAAAAGCCACTAAAAATTACATTACAACGGATGCACAAAACCACATATATATGGAAACACATATATACACATGTACACAACTATATACACACACATATATGCCTATTTATACACACAAAACACATATACACAGAAAGGGGGAAAGAAGGAAGGAGAGAAAGAGGGAAGGAGAGAAGGAAGGGTAGAGGAGAAAGGAAGGAGAGAAGGTAATAAAAAAGTGAAAGAAGGGAGGGAAGAGAGAGGGCAAGGAGAGAAAGAGGGAGGGAAGGAAGGAAATAAGGAAAGAAAGAGAGAAGGAAGGATGGAGCCAAAGAGCAAAGTAAGGGAGGAAATAAACAGGTAGAGAAGGAAGAAAGAAGAAGGGAAAGAAAAAGAAGGGAAGGAAGGAGGGAAAGAGGAGGGAAGGTTGGCCACAGCAACGCGTGGCGGATTCAGTTAGTCTATATAAATAAAAATGTAATGTTTGTTTGTGGGATTAACATAACTAAAAAACAACTGGATGAATTGACACCAAATTTGGACACAATACACCTATCAGGCCAACGGGTGACCATCACTCATGCAAACACTGAAAAATACAACGGAAGTGACTTAAAAAGTCAAAAAAGCAAAACGACGCTACAGCACATGGGCAAAAACAATTCCACCTGGCAAACAAAACACACAATAGAATATCCAGACTCTCTTTTGGACTACAGTTCCCAGTATCCCCTAGACCCGGCCCTTTAGAAGAGGAGGATGATCCAAATGCACTGCTTCCAACCTGCAAGCTTTCTTCTCCTCGGATTTCTTTGAGAGCATCCCAATCCCTGCGTTTTTCCAATTTCCTATTCCTGGACGGCAACTCCTCCAGATAGATAGATTACATAGAGATGAGTAGTTAGGTAGATAGATCGATCAGGAGGACTGCTGGGAGTTACAGTCCAAGAATAGGTAGAGAAGAAAGAACTGTGTCTCCTGCCATTTAACTCTGCTGATAATCATTGTTTTCAGTAGTATCAAAGAGAAAAGAAAAACTTTTGATTGTTCACTTTCCCTGTACCATGCACAATTTTGTACTTCACCTGTTTTCTAACCTAAACCTATAATTTTAGGGGTGTTGTTTCTGCCCTTTGTATCATTGGAACATCCCTTTTAAAATACACTTTTTACCTTTAAAATATTCTGTAAGGCATGAACATGCACTGACTATAACTGTATTCAATAAAAGTATTTGCTGTACCCTACCCCACTATGCCATTCCAAGTATAAAGTACCATACATTTCTATAATGGGTTGCTGTAATTTTCTTGGGCTGTATGGCCTTGCTCCAGAAGCAGGCATCCTCAGAGAGTCCTCACAACCTCTGAGGATGCCTGCCATAGATGCAGGCAAAATGCCAGGAGAGAATGGTTCTGTAACATGGCCATACAACCCAAAAAACTTACAGCAACTCAATGATTCAGGACATAAAAGCCTTTGACAATACATTTCTATAACGACTGTATAGTTTTATTTTTTATTCATTTTCTAACAAATACAACCAGCTTATATTAAATCTGGATAAAGGTGGGAAGATTGCACAAGTCTGCCAGAGGGAAAAACTGTTTAAATTATTGCAGCTCTATTTAATTTATTTTTAAGGGCTGAGAAACCCGATCGAATTGCTGTGCCACACATCATTCTTTCACATATTTGCTATTTTTTTATCAATTCAGTTGTTACTCTGTTTTGATCACATGCTGATGTCCCAGCGTGGTTTCCTTTATTGCTTTTGAATGAATGGGCTGTTGTTTTTCAAAGCAGCGGATTAAAGTGTTTTGAAAACCTATGGCTGGATCTGCAGTGTCACACAATACAGTTTGGAAATACATCATATGGTCTGATGAAAGCTAAATATGATGGTGAAAATATGAGGCCATTTTTGGATTTACCAAAGCAAATTCCTATATTAGTATATGTTAAAAAAGGTTTTATGACTTTCAATTTTGCCTCACATTAATTTGTTGGGGTAACATAGTTTAGTTCTAAACCTGTGGGTCCCCAGGTGTTATGGCCTACAACTCCCAGAAATCCCTGCCAGTTTACCAGCTGTTAGGATTTTTGGGAGCTGAACGCCAAAACATCTGGGGACCCACAGGTTGAGAACCACTTTAGAGGGTACCTAGTGAGTTCATTTTAGAAGTGTCCATTAGGAGGAATTGTTATGAAAGGTGGTAATATATTGTAAGACATGGAAAAACTACCTGCAATATGGTTTATATATTTTTGTATTCTTCCCCGCTCCAGTCTTCACTGGCCACAATCCAAAGTAAACAAAAACATTTCTACAACCGAATTTCTATATTTCTTTCTCAGAACTTGAATTTTCATTAAGACTTTTATTGTGTGAGTGTTTTCAAGCAGGATGTTGCAGCAGAGTATGCAATGATTTTTGTTAATCTGCTGTACTTTTCTGTGGGATTATTTCAGTGTCTCGATTGCATTATAGTAGAATATATATTTATGCAGAGATACAAGAAATGTGTATATACACTGCTATCTCATATGTCCGTCTGTACTGCAAAGATGGCACCAGCAGCTGCTTGTTTACAAACTTTGACTTGGGTTGTGTTTGGTGGAGATAAGGACCTTATCAACCATGTTGCTTTCCAGAAAGTTGAGCAGTCTGAAGACATGGGTTTTGGAAGCATAAAGGGTTCTCTATCTTCCTTTGAGTTGGTTTTTCTTTCCGTAGGTCCATTATGTCAAAACGCAAGGTGACCTTTGAAGACCAAGGCGATGAAGATGAAGAGGAAATGAGTTTGCCAAAGAAGAAGGTATGACAAAGGAAACCCTTTACCCCTCCCTTAATACCTTTTTTAAAGAAAAAATAGTGGGGTAGCATGGTGTTAGCATTGGCTCTCTAGAGTTCAGTTCCATATAGAAGCCCACTGGGTGATCTTGGCAAGTTACACTTTCTCAGCCCCACAAAATTGCATAAGGTTGCTATAAGTCAGAAAAAAACTTGAAGGTAAACCACAACAATAATAGCCTTACTGAGGGCCCTTCCACACAGCCCTATATCCCAAGATATCAAGGCAGGAAATCCCACATTATCTGAGTGTGAACTCAGATAGCCCAGTTCAAAACAAGTATTGTGGGATTTTCTGCCTTGATATTCTGGGATATTGGGCTGTGTGAAAGGGTCCTAAGTCTGGATCTTTGTAGTGCAATTTCTATCCTCTTAAGAATGTCTTGTGTCATGGTAGTTGTAGTCAAAACACCTGGAAGGACCATGGTGGTAGGAGGCTCTTCTGTCACTTGGTATTTAAGGCCCCTTCCACACAGCTGAATAAAATCCCACATTATATGCTTTGAACTGGATTATATGGCAGTGTGGACTCAGATAACCCAGTTCAAAGCAGATATTGTAGGATTTTCTACCTTGATATTCTGGGTTATATGAGTGATATCTAGCTAACGTTTCTACAGCATGTTAATATTTGGAAGCTATATTTATTTCCATGCATATTCTTTCTAGAAAATGGTCCTGAGTATGAATGATTTTAAAAGATAGAAGGAGGAAAGTATTGATAGTTGTCTATTACCCCTAGTATCAGAGATGATGGCTCCCACTGTCAGTTGTTGGGCACACAAGTTGGAGTTATTTGTCTTCTTACACTCATGTTTTGGGATGTCGCTTTCAGTAGGCATTTGGTTAGCCATTGTGAGATGGAAAAAAAAACAAAAAACCTAGATGAGCCATCTTGGTTCCCATATTGTAAACTGCTAACCCAGTGGTTTACCAGCTGTTAGGATTTCTGGGAGTGGAAGGCCAAAACATCTGGGACCCACAGGTTGAGAACCATTGTGCTAATCTGAAGATGCATCATTTCTTCATTATTTTCTCTCTCCTGATCAGCTTGTAGAACCTGCCATTGGCGGGCCAGGTAGCCGTTTTAAGGGCAAACACTCATTAGACAGTGATGAGGAAGATGACGAAGAAGAGGAAGGACGAGGCAGTAAATATGACATCCTGGCATCAGATGATGTGGAGGGTATGTATGAGACGATGTATTTGATTCATTGGGATTTAATATTCTAAACTGCTGGGGGTGTTTGGATTTCAGGTGCCACCAGTGTGGATAAGACTGCCCTTAAGGAATCTGAGTGACTGTACAGCTCTTTTAGTGCCTCAGAATAACTGCAAAGATTAAGTGTTCAAAATTGAGTATGTTTTTGGTTGCTGTGGGAGTGTATGACCATGTTCCAGAAGCATTCTCTCCTGATGTTTCACCCACATCTATGGCAAGCATCCTCAGACGTTAGAGTTTTTAATTCTGATAGCCTAATACTAAAATCACGACAGTAAAGAAAGAACAACAACAATTAAAAACGGGAATTCCAGACAAGAATCAATCAGGGCCAGCTAACACTTCCCAACAAAAGATTCACCCAGGCAGTAACAACTAAGTTTTGAAGCTGCAAGACTATTAAATGCTAATCAAGGTGGCAATTTGCAATATTTACACTTGCCTTGAGCAGATAAGAGTTTTTTTCTCTCACCCTGGACATCATTCCATAGATATATAAGACCCACTTGCCTAGTTTCCAACAGACCTCACGACCTCTGAGGATGCCTGCCATAGATGAGGGCAAAATGTCAGGAGGGAATGCTTCTGGAACATGGCCATACAGCCTGGAAAACTCACAGCAACCCAGTGATTCCAGCCATGAAAGCCTTCAACAGCACAGTGGAGTGTCTTTTGTCAGCAATTCTTAAAACAGGAGTGGCTGGTATTGGAGACTGCTTTATCGAACATTCATCCCCCCCCCCCCTTTCATTTCACACTTGTAGGACAGGAATCTGCCACTATAGACTATGAAGAAGGTGTTCGGATCACCCCATTCAATTTGCAGGAAGAGATGGAAGAAGGCCATTTTGATTCAGAGGGCAACTACTTCTTGAAGAAAGAAGCGATGATTCGTGACAACTGGTTGGACAACATAGACTGGGTAAGACCGTCTGTATGGCTTACATGTAAAGCAGCCAGTACAAATATATCTGTGATCTCACATATGTCTAATTAAAGATGTGAAGACTTGGGGGAAACCACAGAAGAAATCAGAAAACAATTAGGTCCCCATTATGAAACCTATTAAAGAAAGAAAATGTGAAAAACATTAGTATTAGTATCATGAAAAAAATATTTAAGACAAGCCGCTCATGTGTTTACTGCTCCAAAATCATTTCTAAAAACTGTGTAGGAGGAATATATTTATTGAAGCCTATGTATCATTTTAAATAATTATAACTTCTGCTCTTGGTTTCCTTCTTTTGAGAAAGAGTATTTTATGCTCCATTGGGTACAAACATTTTAGATAACAGCAACCACAACAACAACTTTATTTATATACCACCCTATCCAAGAGGACTCAGGGAAGTTTCCAACATAAGGCAAAACATTCAATTGCTAGAAAAGAAAACCACGCAACAAAATTTAACATTATAAAATATAAACATAAAATCCTACTTTAAAAATCATAAAAAATTAAAATCCAATTTTACTTGTACTCCACCAGAAGGGTTCAAAATACTAGTGGTCAGAATTACAGAATGGATATGGCCAACTATGAAAGGGCTAGGCCAGGGCTAGTGCAAGAGAGTATCATAGGGCCGGGGAAGTGGATAAAGTACAGAGCAGGGTCCTAGCTGACAGCCAAGGGAAGGGCCTAGGAACTAATCATTCTCGAAAACCTGCCTAAACAACCAGGTTTTCAGGTCCCTATGGAAGGAGGACAGTATGGGGACTTGTCTAATCTCTCTGGGGAGAGTGTTCCAAAGTTTGGGTGCCACCACCGAGAAGGCTCCTTTCCTCATCCCCACCATCTGTGTTTGTTACAGTAATGGGAGTGAGAGGAGGGCCTCCCCAGCAGATCTTAGAGCTCGTGCCAGTTCATAGGGGAAAATGCGATCATGAAGATAGGTGGGGCCCGAACCGTTTAGAGCTTTGTAGGTCATAACCTGCCCCTTGAATTGAGACTGGCAACTGGCAACCTATGATACTCCCTTGCACTACCCCTGGCCTAGCCCTTTCATAGTTGGCTATATCCATTGCCAGTCTCAATTCAAGCAGTGGAGCTGCTTTATTAGGGGCATTGTGCGCTCCCTATAGTTAGCTCCAGTTAGAAGCCTGGCTGCCAACTTTTGTAGCAGTTGGAGTTACTGGACCGTCTTCACATAGAGCGCATTGCAGTAATCCAATCTTGATGTAACCAAGGCGTGGACAACCTTGGCCATGTCCAACTTCTCGAGGTATGGTTGCAGCTGGTGCACAAACTTTAACTGTGCAAAGGCCCTCCTGGCCACCATCGACACCTGAGCTTCAAGTGTCAGTGCTGAATCCAGGAGGACCCCCAAGCTGCGGACCTCAGGGGGTCCTCGGGGAATGCAACCTTGTCGAGCGCAGGTTGCCACCCAATACCACGATTGGCACCACAATTGACCAGGAGCAGCTCTGTCTTGTCTGGACTAAGCTTCAAGTTGTTAGCCCTCATCCAGTCCATCACAACTAGCAGGCACTTGTTTAGAATTCAGGGGGCTTCCTTGGAATTCGGTGGAAAGAAGTAGTAGAGTGTCATCTGCGCAAAGATGGCACTGAACGGCAAAACTCTGGATGACCTCAGCCAGCTGTTTCATGTAGATGTCAAAAAGCATTGGGGATAGAATAGAACCTTGTGGGACCCCACAGGTCAATGGTTCAAGCAAATATCCCTCAGCTTCACCAACTGGGTGCGTTCCTCCAGGAAGGAGCAGAGCCACTGCAAAGCAATATCCTCAAGACCCATTTTGGAGAGCGGGCCCAGAAGGATAACATGGTTGATGGTATTGAAATAATACACAACCCAAGACCCAACTTCTCGTGTCTTGGTTTGTAGCTCTGTTCCTGGGATGCTGATTCAGAAAATTGCATAGACTGTATCAGCTCTAGTTTCTTCGATATGGTTATCTTGATTTACTATGGCAAGCAGATGGCAAGTGGTAGATGGTATATTTTCTGAATCTCAAAAACTAAATCTGTTACAGGGAAACGGGTGCCATTTTTGGAATTAGCAGGTCAAGTTTACCCAGAAATAGAGATAACATCTGAGGTGTCGGAAGTGTGTGTTACCATGTGATTTCTTTACTTACTTAGAACATCTGCTAGAATTCTTTGTCCTGACCATAAACACATTTTAATAGTACAGTATGTTGCTCAGTATAGTTCCCATCCTTCCTTCTAGGTTAAAATAAAAGAACAGCCTCCTGGTCGGAAGAAACCACCTCTGAATTCTGAGGAAGACAATGGCGAAGGTGAAGAAGATGACCTTGAAATTGGCCAGACACCTTTAGGGAAGAAGGAGCTGTTAGAAGGGATGGTGGATCTGGTGCAACCTGGCGAGACGGTGGCTAGAGCCATTCAAAGGCTTGGAGACAGAGGTGGGCCCAAGAACAGCGGGCGTCAGCAGAAGCCCTGGAGCCGCCTCAAGGCAAACGAAGCAGAACCAGCCGAGCAAGGGGAGCCCCAGAAGTTTGGGTCGCCAGAACGGAAAGAGCAGCTGGAGCGCTTGTCTGGGCTGGCTGACCAAATGGTGGCCCGAGGCGTGTATGAGATTTACCAGGAGACCCGAGAGAAGCTGACGCTGAGGCTCCGAGCGTTGGAGCATCCTCCTGTAGCGCCTTCCGGTGCTGAGCCGGAACTCGATATGTTTGCCGAAGATATTGATGAAGCAAAACTGGGAGAGAAGACGTCGGCAGGTGAGTGAGAGTCTTTCTGGCATGGAAAACACTGTGGAATTGGGATCACTTGAAGTGGAAACACAGAGAATGACATGAAATAATTAATTGCTAAGACATACCACTTCCTGAGGGAGGTTTGTGATATCAAGATTTTTTTTTGTGCTTAGGAAGTAAATGGGTCATGGAAAAGGTCTGGTATTTTCTCTGTCTATGATGTTTAACAATGGAGCTCATTGCACTGCTTCAGACTATGATGGAGGCTTCTTCTTTGGAGGCTTTTAAACAGAAGTCGGATGGCCATCTGTCAGGGCTATTTTGATTGTACTTCTCCTATATGGCAGGGAGTTGGACTGGATGGCCCATATGCTCACTCCCAACTCTGTGATTCTCAGGGCCCTTCCACACTGCCCAGAATCTGATCCCAGATTATCTCCTTTAAACTGGAATATATGAGTCCCCACTGCCAGATAATCTGGGATAAACAGATAACCTGGGATCAGATCCTGGCATAAAGGGGCAGTGTGGAAGGGCCTTATGTTTCTGGATGAATAGTGTTGATCAAAGAAAGCATCCAAACATCAGCTTCCCTGTATTTCTGTTCTTCGTTGTTCAGATTTATATGGAATTGGCATATGATATGTTTTAATGTTCTCCAACAGCGGGAAGCGAGGCTCAACGGCGGGATGATGATGACAACACTCTCTCTGAGGTGATGTGGGAATATAAATGGGAAAACACAAACTCATCTGAACTCTATGGCCCATTTAGCAGCTCACAGATGCAGGTAAGGGGCTGTAGATGGAGGAAGCAGATTTCTCTTAATGTGTGTGAACATACATGCACACACATTGTTTTGCCCTGTTTTTACTGTCCTTGAACAAGTCAAACTGTCAGCTTCAGAGAAAGGCAAAAGCATACCTCATTTGAAAAAAAAATGCAAAGAACTATGTGATAGTCTATAACTTATAAAACTATAAGTAAGATTTGGAAGACTTTGGAACTTCACAATAATGGATTGTTGACATAGTTTTAACACTGGGATCTGGATGGTCGTGGGCACAGAACAGGTGTGAAAATAAACTTCCTGGGAATCAGCTTGGTTGTCTTACCATATATACTTGAGTATAAACTGACCCAAATATAAGCCGAGGCACATTATTTTACCACAAAAAACTGGGTAAACGTAATGATTTGAGTATAAACCAAGGGTGGGAAATGCAGTAGCTACTGGTACATTTCAAAATAAAAATAGTTGCCAATAAAATTACATTAATTGAGGCATCAGTAGGTCAAACCTTTTTGAATATTTACATGAAACTGTAATTTAAGACCGCCCAACTCTGATTAAACCATTATTCTAATTACCTTCAATGTAAATGTGCTTACATATCCTTCCGATAATAATAGAGTGAAATAATGGAAATATAATAACAACAATAATAAAGTAAAATAATAAATGTAATAATAAATAGAGTATAATAATGAATGTAATAATAACAATAATAATAAAGTAAAATAATGCCCCTTGGTGTATTGGATTACACTGCTGAGCTGCTGAACTTGCTGACCAAAAGGTCGGTGGTTCGAATCTGGGAAGCCCCACCTTCTGCCAACTTAGCAGTTCAAAAACATGCAAATGTGAGTACATCAATAGATAC